ATTCCAATTCCAAATTCCAAGAACGTATTCACAGAAGCAGAGTCAACCTTGAGCCGGTGAGATTAGAACCGCTGAACTGCAGATAACAGTCAGCTGAAGTGGCCTGCAGTACTGCACCCTAACCACTGTGCCACCTCGGCTCCTTATAACATTAGCTACCGGTTCTCCCGAACCCGGACGAACCCACTCCTGGATGGGCCCCATCTGTTCCTCCCCGTCACTCAGCTCAGGCCCCAAAGACAACTGCCTCTCCACCTAGGGGAGGACGGAAGGCCCCCGGTTCTGCCTCTGATCAGAATCGTCCAAAGCTAGCCTGGGCCCTACCGCTACCTGGTCGGACTCTGCTGCTGGCTCTGCTGGGAGCCGACGGGCCCCAACGGCAGGTGGCTACTTACGCACGTCTCAGAAAGATGTGCTTTGCTTGCTTTACGATCTTCTCCAGCAGCCCCTCGCTGGGTTGCAAGGAACCGATTTCGTTTTTATCCAGCGCCTGAGGTCCTGCCAGCCTCATTCTTTTGTGGCCAAAAGGAGCGCTAGCCGGATGAGGCATCACGTTGCTGCTCAGGGTCTGCTTGTGGAACTGGGGGAGGGAAAAGCCGTCGAGAGGTTACCGTCCCCATTTTTCTTTAAAAAAACCTCTTTATTTTGTTTATGCAAGCTTCACATCTTTGCAAGACATTACACTTCTTTTACATATCATTGTGATTCTTTTATCTGTACATGTAAGTCTTGTATAACTATAACTTTATATATATGTGCATTTATATTATTTCATACATCTTTTTTCTTCCTTCTCTATATAACAGTCTATATGTTCTATGTACAAACAACCTTTATTACATTTGAGTCATTTTGTATCCATTTCCTATTATTTATTTCCTACAAGAGGTTCCATTTTCAGCAACACGTTGCACATGAAATATTTTTGTACCCCTAAAAGCCTCACAAGACATTCAGTGAAAAAAAAGGGAGAATCTGAACTCAAAACTCTGCTGCAGTGAAGTTGTTTTACCTCTCTGATCAGTTGGTGAAGATTGTGCTCTAGAACATAAAGATGATCTTCTGGGCCTTGTTTCTCAGAAGTAGATTTTTGGGATTTCTTGTCTTCTGAGGAGTGACACAAGGAAATGCAGAGCTGCAATCCTATAGAAAGAAGTGTAAAATTGCGTATGTGTGAACTGCATCTTGTAGTGTTATTACATTCTGGTTCTTGATACTTAGCTGTTGATTTCTTAAATATAAGGGTAAATGTAGGTAAGTAGATAGGTGGGGAGGAAGAAAGGAAAGAAGGGAGGGAAGGAAGGAGGGAGGGGGGGAGGGAAGAAAAGGAGGGAGGAAGGGAAAAGGAGGGAGGAAGGAAAGAAGGAAAGAAGGGAGGGAAGAAAAGAAAGGAAAGAAGGGAGGGAAGGAAGGAAAGGGAGGGAAGGAAAGGAGAAAAGAAGGGAGGAAGGGAAGGAAGGGAGGAAAGGAAAGAAGGGAGAGAGAAAGGGAGGGAGGGAAGGAAGGAAAGAAGGAAGGAGGAAGGGAGGAAGGAGAGAAGGGAGGGAGGGAGGGAAAGGAGGAAAGAAGGGAAGGGAGGAAAGAAGGGAGGGAAGAAGGGAAGGAAAGAAGGGAGGGAGGGAAGGAAAGGAGGGAAGGAAGGAAAGGAGGGAAGAAGGAAGGAGAGAGGAAGGAAAGAAGGGAGGAAGGGAAGGAAGGAAAGGGAGGAAAGGAGGGAGGAAAGGAAGGGAAGGAGGAAAGGAGGGAAGGAAGGAAAGAAGGGAGGGAGAAAGGAAGGGAGGGAAGGAAGGAAAGGAGGAAAGAAGGAAGGAAGGAGGGAGGGAGGAAGGAAAGAAGGGAGGGAGGGCAAGGAGGAAAGAAGGGAGGAAAAGAGGGAAGGAAGGAAAGAAGGGAGGGAGAAAGGAAGGGAGGGAAGGAAGGAAAGGAGGAAAGAAGGAAGGAAGGAGGGAGGGAGGAAGGAAAGAAGGGAGGGAGGGCAAGGAGGAAAGAAGGGAGGAAAAGAGGGCAGGAAGGAAAGAAGGGAGGGAGAAAGGAAGGGAGGGAAGGAAGGAAAGGAGGAAAGAAGGAAGGAAGGAGGGAGGGAGGAAGGAAAGAAGGGAGGGAGGGCAAGGAGGAAAGAAGGGAGGAAAAGAGGGAAGGAAGGAAAGAAGGGAGGGAGAAAGGAAGGGAGGGAAGGAAGGAAAGGAGGAAAGAAGGAAGGAAGGGGGGAGGGAGGAAGGAAAGAAGGGAGGGAGGGCAAGGAGGAAAGAAGGGAGGAAAAGAGGGAAGGAAGGAAAGAAGGGAGGGAGAAAGGAAGGGAGGGAAGGAAGGAAAGGAG